TGCCTTTACTTTCTTTTCCCATTGTTGTTTCCCTTTTATTTGCAGGATTTTCTATTTTGTGATTTTCTACAGTTCTTTCTCTTCTGCAAAAAAGAACACTTTCTTGTCTTTCTTATCAACAGTTGTTAAACCTAGGATGTTGTCTGGAAGATATTAGTTTGAATTTTAAAGTCCCAGAGCATTTTAGTTTCTTCATTCTCTATTATTGTCTATTTTGTGGTCCCACCAGTTCTTGCTTGCAAGCAAATGGTATTTCTTGCAGATCTTCCAACGCACCATTGTTGCCACTTTACTATGCCGTTGCTTGTAGTCAGTCTGGGAGATCTTCTTGCAGCAGCTAACCAGGTGATTCACTATTTTTTTTAGCTTCTACCTGTTGCTTTCTTCTCAATTCAGGCTTTCTATGTATTTGTTCTCATGGCTTGGTCTTGTGTATCCAGAATTTGCCCCTCTGTCTCTGTCTCTTTCTTCAACTTTCCTGCTCTTAGCTATTGCCAGGTCTTCTTGTCATCTGCTTTGACTACTGTGTGTGTGTGTGTGTGTGGGGGGGTGTCTTTTGCCATGTCATAGAATCACAGGGCTGGAAGGGATCTTGGGGGTCTCCAGGTCCAACCCCCTGCCCAAGGCAAGGGTCCTTATACCATAAGGCACATGACTGCATCGCTTAGCAAGAGCAATAGATGGGCAACACCATTCATTAAGCAAGGACCTCATGTGACTGGAGTGTGGGACCTGCAACTGCATCCCAGGCAAGCAGGCCGGGAGGTCAGAGCTATGGGTAGATAGGCAGGTGCTACAGGCGGCCACTACAGATTGTGGGCAAGTACCATGAGCAGCACTATGGAGTACAGGTGGGCTGGCACCATGTGCCAGTGCTCCGAAATGGAAACAAATGGGCAGGTGCTGCAGGTGGGTAGGTGCTGTGCTTGGGCACTATAGGGTATGGGCACAAGATCCCCGATGCCGCCAAGGGCCCCCTTGGGAGAAGCAGCAGCAGGTGTGACCTCCTGCCGGCTTCCCCAGTAACTATATTTGTTTCAAGCAAGGTCTCAAATGGTGCTCACATGACCATAGGACACTGAAGCCATTGAAATTGCAATCCAGTTGCCGACAGCCTGAATCACAATCACATGAGTGTGAGGACACCGTGACAGTTGCAACGTTAAGGACTGGTTGAAGGTCCTCCTGATTCAGCGCAGTCATAATTTTGAACGCCTGCTGAACAAGTGGTTGTAATCCAAGGACTTCCTGTATTTGTCTGTCATATTTGTACAGTACCCGTTGTTCTTTTGACAGGGCCTGGTTGCTAGGAGGTGCTGCCAGGTGATGATTAATATTGACACTGGACAGTGAGCAGTAGTTTAACTCCTAATCCTCTATGGCTGTAGGTCCTTAAAGTCCTTGATAGCTACTCTTTGAAACAAGCAAATGGCGCAACTCTACAGCACAGGCAACTACCAAGTCAGTGTATTCATCACAAGGATTACCCTAACTGTCCATCCCATTGTTCCCTAAGCACTTTAAGGACAATTGTATTGCATAGCCGTCTTACTCAGTGGTAGCTTCTGATTCTAGAAGTCTGACTGCTGCATACTCCTTACGGAATAGATTCCCGTACAATGGTTCTAAATAACCATTGCTTCAGGGGCAGAGTTCCTCATTCTACGACAGATGACCTTACTAGACACTCATTGTGGAACCCTATTTGTGACTGCAGAATGACAATTTCAAAATCTCTCTGCACAGCCAAATTACAGGCATGGGAATGTCAGAAGTTGAGGACTGGGTATTAGCAAACAAGGTTCCATCGGGAGAAACTATGATGGCGATGGTTAATATCACAAGAGACTGAACATTGTAGGTTCCTTGGCTTAAGTTTCATAAAGAGTGTCTGGAAAATAACAATTTGGCCGTCTCTAAAATTACAGGCACTGGCTCCACTTCACCTGGTATACAAGTCATAGGAGAGGACTAAGGAAAAAGCAGCAAGATACATTAGCTCAGATCTACCAGGTAGTTAGTGACCCATGGGGAGGAGGAGACACAATTCAGACTGTCCTCTCTGTTTTCTTTGGGCCAGCAATGCACCTGACACAGGTGTTCATTCAACAACACATCTGCAGAATGGCCAAGAAAATGGCATTTTCAACTTCAAATAAAAGTGTGTTAGGCCTTTAAAAGGTAGTATATGTACCTGTAAAAGTTGTAAACAAAATCAGAATTTAGAATTTTAAAAAAATGTGCACCAAATACCCTCAAACCTCTTGTTGAATCATCTTTTACCTCTGGCCTTCTGCCACTCCAGAATTTTAAAGGAACAGACATGGTGGTCCAGCTGCATGACCCCCCAGTAGAGCAATGTTTCTCAACCTTGGCAACTTTAAGATGTGTGGGCAAATCTAACTTTGCTGGCTGGGGAATTCTGGGAATTTAAGTCCACACATCTTGAAGTCACCAAGGTTGAGGAACACTGGGTCAGGAGAGGATTTGAGGTACTTGCATAAGTATATTCAGGGCCAGGTCAATAGTTTAGCTCTGGCCTCAAGATTGGAAGTGCTGAAAGAGACTACAATGTTCCTCCTTAAGCCTGGTGAGAATCATCTGAAGCTGAGTGAACCTAATATTTCTAACAGCTCCAACCTTGGCTTCAAGTGGACGTTCTTACTACTCCTCCATGCAACCAGGCGTGCCCTACACCAGGAGTGACAAACCTTGCTCTTCCAGACATGACTGAGCTGCAATTCACCAGGCAGGCTAGAATGAGGGACTTTACTTGCAGGCCAAGGAGATAAAAAACGGTCCTGTTTTCCAAGTGTCAGTTTTCCTGGAAATGAAGCTTTTCTAAATAAGAAACTAACCTGATTGATTGTTTGCTATCATTGCATCCCATATCATTCCTGCTTGTGCAGTTCTTCAAGGAATTGTTGGTGCGGCAAAGCTAGGGTCAGAGCAATGCCTCTTGCCCAGGAGTATGTGTATGTGTGCCTAGTTTCATTTGCCCAAGGGAGCTGCCAGGAACTGCCACATGACCCGAATTCCAGTCTATTGCCATCACTACGGCTGCCCTGAGAACAATACAGCCAGTCAGCTTCTATTGTTTCCTAATGAGCATCCTGATTTTAGAGAATCCCAGGGCCCCTCACGATGAGCTCCCTAACACAAAACAGAAAAGATTTTTGCCTTTGAAAACATGGTCCCTTTTAAAAATCATTTATAAGAAAACACTGGGGGAGGGGGGGGGAATAAAAGTAGCAAGAGCAGTAGAGGCATACCAACCTCCATTATTTATCAGGCTCAGTCCACTGGGTGATTCCAGTTTATTTTAAGTGCTTACCTAAATGACCTTTTTCTCTGCCAAGTTCCTAGTGCATTGGATGGAAGCAGCAACTAATCTCTCACTTGACAAAACTGACATTCTTTCAATGGCTGCATGCAAACTGTTCTGTTCTCTGAAGTCTCTGTGAACTCAAAGGGGGGGGTGCTTTAAAGGCCCTTAAATTTAAATATGCCAACCATAGCACATGGGCTGGGAGAACGGGCACCTCAAGGAAATCTCAAAACGCATCATCCTCTACCCAAAGTTGACCCAACTGTCCCCACCCCCCCGGATGGCTTTTGTGGGAAAGGGGCCCAAGAATGTCGAGTACAATAAAATGTACCCTCAAACAGCAGCAAGAAAACCAGGGGCCAAACCCCAGGGATCCAAAATGTGTGAAACTGCAGGAGGGCAAGAGAGCCTCTCAACCTCTTAACCTTCAGTAGATCATCTCCAACCAGAGCGTTCATCAGCCAATCAGTCCAAGAAGTGAAGGCCAAAGGATCACAGCAGGTTGTTGATAACAGTCAATGGGTAAAGCCCTAACTTGGGCAGAAACGCAGATAACATCTACCTTGGGCTCAAGCCAAAAGTTCAAACGATGGAAAGTATATTGCATGGATCTCTAACTGGAACACTTTGAAGATTCTCTTCACAGATCTCTGCATGCAGACATAACAGGGAGTACTCTTGTAATAGACAGGTATGCACAGGTATGCCAAGAGTTCACACATGAATTACACCAACTCCAAAACAAGAAGAGACAAACGTAGAATATGTAATCTTTTCCTCAACCTCTTACCCCAACCCACTGCATTCTAAAATGGGTAAGACTACACATACATTGATGTGAAATCATATGAAACGTAAAGTTTAGAATGTATAAACTGGTATGTGGCATTAGTTTGCTAACTGATATATTATGCATCATTTCCTCATTTTACTTTCTTGGCAAAACTTCGGATTCTTTTTGTTAAACTTTTGTCCTAATTTCTATTTCACAGTTGAAACAGCAGCATCCCAAGATAGATAGTAAACAAACAAGGGAAGAGCAGCAGCTTTGGGAAGTCCGGAACAAAAGCAACAGCTTCCCATCACACCTGCTTTTCATGCTAATTATCTACTTAATACCAATGTCTTTTCATAATTAAAAGGAACAAATTGAATAGCTGTGATCATAACCTCCTGCAGCAAAACCCCTTGACCCTAGAGATGCTTTCAGAAGGATAGTTCTCCTCAAGGATGCAGAGCTGAATGTGTCCAAGACCACACAAAGAAAGCCCCAAGGATGCCGGGAAAGGAAAGGGGGCCCCTCTGGACCCCTTTGTAGACATGTCCTGCAGCTCCCAAAGCCAAGACGCTTTAGTTCTCCATGGTACAATTCTGAGCAGCCTAAAGACAGGCGCCAACCCTTCTCTAGCTTCCCAAGACAAGGAACAGAAGCTGGCATGACTTTCTCTCCCACTGTGCCAGTAGTTTCCAGGCAGAAGCACTCCCTGGAGGTCCCTTCTGCAAAGCCATAATGGAGGCGGGCAAGGTGCAAGAGGAAAGGAAAAGACAGACTCCTCAGGCATCCTTACCCTTCAGCGGCCATCTCGGGTTCGGCTTCTGTGGCCTACCAAGAGCCCCCCACCCCCCCAACAACAGGGCACCACAAGCACAAGACAAACTCACAAGCACTTACCCGGCTCACAGGCCTCCATCTCACTCTGGTCAAAGGTTTAAGAGCACCGAAAGGCAGGAGATAATAGAGAATAGTCAGAGGCCAAGAACGGAGTTTCAGAGCAGGCCTAGACATACAGCTCAGCTGGCCCAACCTCCGCCTCAGGGCCAGCTGGGGAAATTGCAACCTGTGGGATTACAGACACACAAGATGGTCAGCCAACCTGGTGTCATGGGGAGGGGCCTCTCTTTTGCCTCCTGAGGCTTTCCCCCAAAACAGGGCCCCTCCCATCAGAAACAAAGTTGGCCTAACCCCAGCAAAGCAGAGCAGCCCAGTTCGCCATGATTCAGATGGTCTTGCCCTCAAGGAAGCTCCCATAGAGTCCAGAAGCAATACCGGGTGAGAAAGATAAGAGAAGCCCCTGCAAATATATCCCACAAGGACAGTTTTACCACTGTCTGCAGCAAAAGCAGAGCTGCAAGACGGTACAGGAAGTGGCAAATCCTGCTTCCTGGGGAATTTCGCCTCCTCTGCTACAGGATGAAGTCAAGGCCCCTTTCCCTGTCGTTTTGTAAGAACTGACATGTCTGCTGGCCTTTGCAGGGAATAATGGGGGGATCTTCTGTAGGACAAGAGTATGGATACAGGTCTGAGAGTTTGTCTCCTTTCACCTGAAGAGCTGAAAACCTCACTGGGATATCCTGCAAGTTGCTAGCACTCTAAAGAATCCTGCGTTAGGACCAGGTGGGTCTCATAACACCCACAAGGAAGCCAGCCAGATTCAGGTATCCACTTCCTCTCAGCAGGCAACAAGTTCCAAGGGAAAAAAGGAAATCCCGTGGGGACTACCCACAGCACTGCTTTGCACCAGGAAAGTAGTTTAAAACCCTGATTCACACAGGGCTCCTAAAACACCTGATCTCCACATCAAACTCTTCATAAGAAAAAGGGACAAAGACTGGATTAACCTTAAATTGGCCAAAACAAAGAGCACCACTAGCAAATTCCACCCAGTTATTCGTTTTTATTTTATCTGGAAAGACAGAGTTCACTCTTCTTCTAGCATATATTAGTTACAAATTAGGAGCAAAACTGGCTGTAGACTTGTATTTCGAGCCTCAATGGGCAGCCCAGTTGCCCACCTAGGGCAGGTTTGCAAAGCGCAAACTCCCCTCAGGAAAAAAATAACTCCTTCAGGAGAAAGAACTTCTGGAAAGTGCAGCAGGGATCTGTCCCAAGAATAAAACCTGGACTAGAATCAATTAGTTTGGATTCCTGAGGACTCAAGCAGCTTCCCCACCCCCAGCCCATAGCCCTAGGGAGGGCTGCTGTATTTCAGCTAAAAAAGTGCAAGGAGGCTAAAAGGGGCCTCCTGCATGCTGCTCATTCCTCTCCCCCCCCCACTCCTTACCCCCCCTCCCCCAAAGCTAGCCTGGCAGGAGACAATGGCAAGAGCTGAGAGGCAGGGCATCACGCTCGCTTCCTGGCTCCGTCTTCCCCTTTCACTGCAGACAATCCCAGCCAATCCCTGCCGAGTGCCGGCTTAAGAGCTGCCTGAAAAAGGACCCAGGCCCTCCAGGCAGGGCCTCCTTTTCCAAAGATCCCCCTTGATCCCCAGGTGAGGCCCAGCATCTCTTGTCCCACCCCCCCAAAGGGCCTGACAGACCTGCGATGCCCCTCCTTCCTGTGCCAATCAAGTGAATCCAGAGGTTTGTCACCGCAGTTAGGCCAAACAAAGGCTTGGTGGACACCTGCCAGTTTCCTCTCCCTCCCTCCTCCTCCTCGCAAAGCCAGAGACGCCAGACAGTACCTGAAACGGGCTTTCCTATTTGGGGTGCTCCCAGCTGGGACCGGGCTTTCCAGCTGTGGGTGCTGCTCCCCAGCACCGCCGCCGCCGCCACCGCCACCGTTTTCTGAGCGCAGCCTCCGGACATGGATTTTAACTTTGTGGAGGTTGCAGCAAGAGGGAGGAGGGTTAGGTAAAGCTTTGCAGCATCTCACCATTTCCCTGAGTGCAGCTCTGGTCCCTGCAGGGCGCTTGACTGACACATCCTGGGCTGTCAGGCTGAGACTCAGTTCCTCTCTCTCTCTCTCTCTCTCTTGCTTCTTTCCCCCCCTGGCTCCGGCAGCGGGAAAGGAGGAGGAGGCAAGGAGGAGGCGCAGTCACGGCTCCCAACTTCTCCTGCAGGTATGTCCTCCGACTGGCCCTGCCTCTCGCTCTTAGGATGGTCTCAGCTAGTGCAAACAAACAGGCACCGTATCACATCCTTCTGCAGAGACAAAGCAAAGGCTCCTCTCCCCCATACACGTGCAGAGGCCCCGCTTCAGCCGGGGGCTGCCATGGAGCCGGGCTGCTTCTTGGAAGAGTCTGGAGCAGCGGTGGGAGACCGAAGCCCCACGGTCAGGAGCTCGGCCAGCCAGCCGCAGGCATCTCTCCCCAAAGCCGGGCTGAAGGCGAGTGAGGCTGGCCGGGAGGAGGGGGAGACGCTTCTCGCCTCAACTCTGCACTGCAGTAATGACAGCCTGGATGGTTCTGGGCAGGCGTGCAAGACCCGGCAACGCATGCAGCATTCTTAGGGCCAAAGAATCTCTCCTTGTCCAGCCAAAGCCGGCTGGAGGCCAGGGAGAGAGGGGGCATTCTCACGCCAGGCAGGCAGCAGGAGGGGCACTGGGAAGCCCACCTGGCCCTGGCCCAGAGAATCATCCTCTCCGCAAACATTTTCTAGCAACAGAATGAACCAGAATTGATAACCGAGCAGTGCAGGCAACAACTCAAAAGGTTTATAGACAGGACCATCATCTCCCAAAGACTGCCGAAGTCATGCCAGGTATCTGAGCTGGTGCCAAACAGGGGACCAGAAACCACACCAGAAGCCTGATGATAAGGGACCTCCGTCACTCTCCAAAGAGCCAAGGCGGAGTCTGGGTGAGGAAAGTAGCGAGTTGGTTTCTGGTCGCCAAATATTGCCAGCAGCATTCAAGGAAGGAGATGTCTGTTTCAGGAAGGGAGGAAGGGAGGAAGCCCGGAGAGAAAAAACAGGCCAGAGAACAAGCCCTTCCTCCTTCAACCAAGTCAACTGGGCAGATACAGGTAGTCCTCGACTTACGGCCACAAGTGGGCCCAAAATTTCTGTTGCTAAGTGAGACAGTTGTTCAGTGAGTTTTGCCCCATTTTATAACCTTTCTTGCTACAATTGTCAAGGGAGTCACTGCAGCTGTTAAGTTAGTAAGATGGTTCTTAACTGAATATGGTTTCCCTATTGACTTTGCTTGTCAGAAGGTTGCAAAAGGGATCACGTGATCCCGGGATGTTGCAGCCATACTAAACGCATGCCAAGCATCTGGATTTTGATCACAAGGCCATAGGGATGCTGCAGCATTCGTAAATATGAAAAATGGTCACAAGTCGCTTATTTCAGCGCCATTATAACATCAAACAGTCACTAAACGAATGGCTCTAAGTCAAGGACTGCCTGTATCTATTCTAAAATATTTCTTCCAGATCCAAACCTAAATTTCAGAAAATCTCCTGCTTCTATCAGTATCCTTATGTAAAATGGACAGCAGCCCCACCAAGAAATGGCTGGGCATTGAGAAACCTTTTTTTTTTTTTAGGAAAAAGAATATACACAGTAACAAAGTCCTATTTACATATGTATTTTGTTATTAGTTATGAGGTCCTTGACCATGTTTTCTTTTGCTTTACATTTACAAATTCAGAACAAGCAAGGGTAAATTTGGGGTTTTGTTGGCATTGGGGATTTGAGCTTTTTCCCCCTCCAGGACAGATAAGATGGTATTTAAATATATATATTCAGGTCTCGTCATCCCCTGGTTCACATTTTAATCATGTGAGAATTTATTTATTTATTTGTATCCTGTCCTTATTATTTTTACAAATGACTCAAAGCAGTGAACATATCCAACACACTTTCTTCCTCTTCCTATTTTCCCTACAATAACCCTGTGAGGTGGATTGGCCTAAGAGGAGTGACTGGCCCAAAGTCACCCAGTTGACATTCATGGCTAAAGCGGAACTAGAACGCATGATCTTCCGCTCTCTAGCCTGGTACCTTAACCACTAGGCCAAACTGGCTCCTGAATTGCCTCTGGATGGGGTAAACGTTATTACTTTGCCTTTCTTCCAGAACAGGAAAGAGATAACTACCGTTTTTTCCTCCTGATCAAAGGCACAAAAGCTCAGCGGTTAATATCCTGGGCGTGTCAATTTGACACCCAAGTACCGCGTGACGGAGTGAGCTCTCGTTCTTGCCCCAGCTCCTGCCTACCTAGCAGTTCGACAGCATGTAAATGCGAGTAGCTAAATAGGTACCACTTTGGTGGGAAGGTAACAGCATTCTGTGCGCCTTGGCATATATTAGTCATGCTGGCGATATGACCACGGATGTGTCTTCTGGCTTCCTCAGCTAAGAAATGGAGATTGTGCCCTAGAGTCAGAAACAAATGAACAGGGGAAGAAACCTTTACCTTATTCTCCTGAGACTTCATTGGTTGTGGTTGCACAATGTGCTTACTTGTGGTTAATTAAATAGAGTTTATTCAATTTATTTTTGAGCTTTCAGACTCAACTTCAAATAAAGCACAGAGTTCATACAACCAAACAATCTAAACTAGGACTGGCTAGTTTATGTTTCAGGGTGGCAACTGAGGCGCCCAGGTTCTGCTTTTCTCCACTGGATCCTACCGACTGCATCCCATGATGGGATCAGTCTGTTCCGTTCCACTCCCAGCTTAAATGATACTCAGATCCTCCACTTGAGCAGCTGCTTGCACCTAGATACTAACCGAACACATTTCATTTTGATTGTTGTTTTGTTCTCCACCGTTAATGAGGAGTCCACATTCTTCCTGTCATTCAAATTACTTCTGGCAATTTCCCCACTTCACCTTATATTCAGCCTAATAAAACTATAATATTACCAGCTGAATGGCTCCATAGGAACTCCAAGGTCTCAGGGACTTAGCAATCAGATGCCGCAATATCAGGTTGAACCTCATGAACCTGACGCCTAGAAGCGAGAGTTCACCAAATTTATTTTTGTCTTTCCTTCTGAGGGTAGACCTGATTCCAGAATTGGAGTCTGAGAGGAGACGGAGAGAAATCCCTCTGCTGCCCAGGCTCATTATTACATCCTGTGTCTTTTAAACTTATTTTAACGTTGTGCAAGAAACTCTGATTCTCCGAGCCCTATTTCTGTACTTCTCAAACAAACTGATCACACTTTACTTTAGGCACCCAAGAGGATTTTCCTACTTTCTGATCATTAGCATTTGATTACGGGGTTGATAAATCAGGATAATCAATTAGCTAAACAGATAATTATCCACGTAAGAGATCTGCGTGAAGAGTTCTTATAGGTAGATTATACGGAGAATTATTCTCCAAGAATTATGGGCTTCTTTTCAGATTCGGTTTGCAGAGTCTTGGTTGGTTAATCCTAACTCAGGCAAATCTGCACCCGTTCAGGCCTAAGACACACTGGGTGCCTTGTGGGCCACGTTATGTCACCCAGGCCCAGAGAGCGGATGGAAGAAGGCTTCAGAATTAAAGGCTCCCCTTCCTACTGAAACAAAGAAATGATCAAATAAACTTGGCACCTCGGGAAGGAATTCAGTGCCGCTTTTGTACCGGCAGGGCATTTCTTGGTGCTGTATAAAAGCAGAGTCTCTCTCATGAGGCAGAATACTTTTTGTCTCTTTACCACTTTCCTTTCACAACTGGCTCTTTCTCTTTAAATCCTCCTCGCTACCTCTTGGGACCGCTCTTTCTTTCCCACAAACTTTTGCACGCTGCTAACCCCTGCCGAACAATAGAGATGGAAAGCCTGCCTCTGACTGGCTGCTGCTCGGCTCACGCCATTTTCAAGAAGCAGCCCTTTCCTTCCTCACAAGGGAAGAAAATTTCATGCCCTGAAAGAATCAATGAAAGGAGACATTTTTCAACCACTTTTCTTTAGTATTTTGCAATGGCTCATCAGAAAACAATAAAAAATTAAATAAAAATAAAAATAATAATAAAAAAAAAGAAAAGAAAAGAAAAATAATAATAAAATAAAATAAAATAAAATAAAATAAAATAAAATAAAATAAAATAAAATAAATGAAATGAAATGAAATAATGAAATGAAATGAAATGAAATGAAATGAAATAAAATAAAATAAAATAAAATAAAATAAAATAAAAAATAGCCCCTCATCCTGACCAGGGAACAGGGGCTGAGCAAGGCTCGTATGCTCACCCTGGGAAGGAAGCATTTCCCTGAGGAGCTGCCCAAGAGGCCGGCCCAAACAAATGCCATTTCAGGTTTCACTGTCATCACAGCAACCCCTGAAAAGTTACTCCCTAGTTTCAGGGGTGTCTGCATGGGGTGCTCAAAAAAGGCAAGATGGTAGCCAGGATGGTGCAACTGAAGCTATGCCCATCTTTTATATGCATTGTACACTCTGCTTCCATAATTTAAAAATGGGGAAGAATTAGGATGGCCGTGTTCTCCTTCCAAACTCTCCCAGTTACTCAGTTTCAAAACCAGAACACGGATGCCTCCTTCCATAGAAACAGCTCCCTGTGCCCGAAGGGAGAAAGCCCTTGCTTTGATACCTACTAAGCAGTCCTCAACAAGAATGTAAATTTATCAACTTTGGGGGGGGGGATGGAAAGAGAGATCTTTGCCAATCCCAGCCTGGTTGGACTAGATGACCTCCAAGGTCCCTTCCAACTCTGTTACTGTTACCCGCACAGGCATTCTACTGGGTTATTTTGGCTTGAGATCAACCTCTCCTCACCAATGCCTTGATCAAGGCCAGGCAGGTAAGGCTGGTCCAGGCTGAGGAGACACACTGGATCACCGTTAAAAGAGCCTTGTTTCATCGTATACTTTTCAAGGCAGATATAAACTCTGATCACCCTGTAACCGGAACCATAACATTGCCTAATGTACCTGGAATCATCCGCTTCCCTATTCAAACCCTCTGAGGTAACATTTGCATTTACAATTGAGAGAAAAAGTAAGTCAGCAGGAGAGTAATTTTGCCATACCCTTGACTCATCATGAGGATGAAGAAGAAGAAGAAGAAGAAGAGGCATGTGGGAGACCTAGAGAGGCCTCAGAAATGAAGGTCCCTCCTGGGATCCCCCGTTCTGATGAAGTGCAGCCTCAGCAGCCTTTTTTTTAAAGAAAGCAGCTCAGTGGAGTAGAAAAGCTGGCTCAGATTTCAATGGTTCCCTCTTAAGGACGCCCCACCATCCGAGATGGAGAGGTGGCTTTTCAACGAATACCAGAGCAGGAGCCGGGCTTCTTTAAGAGAGGCGCAGCAGGCAATGGGGCAGGAGGAGCCACCGGCCGCATGACGAGGCTTGCTCACTTCCCCCAGGCTTCCTGCCAGCTCCAGAGCCCGCCGGCCACTGCCGGCAGCATGTGCCAAAAGCAGCAAGCGGCAGCGTCTGAAGAGGGGGCTGGGTGGGTCACGGGAGAAGCCTCCCTTTGCAACTGGCTGAGACGCTTCAGGCGGGGAGACTCTGAGACTGCAGACAAAAGCCAGCACTGATTTATAAACCAATTAACTCCCACAAAAGGTTGAAACAGCAGATCAACTTCCTGAACAGAGAAAAATATTAATGGAGGTCAGAAAAACAGCATTTGAAAATGTTAGGCACGAAAAGCCCCCTTGAGCAGACGCTGCCAAATCGCATCGACTCTTTTGCTTGGATGCTGTAAGACAGCAGTTCTCAAGCTTTTCTTTACCATGAATTCCCTTTAAAAACCTTCCATGGACGCAGACCCCCAAGACTCAACATCTAAATAATAATATTTCTTCAAAGCCTTCGTAGACCCCCTGTGATGACATCGCGGGCTCCCAGGGGTCCGCAGACCATAGATTGAGCACCACTGCTGTAAACCATTTTGGAAAGACCCTGAGCTAAAGGATGGCTAGGAAACAGGTGAAATGCAGGGCATCTAAACAAGACTTTATTCTCAAAGAAAAGCAGGTTCAGGTTAGCCGTGACATCCACTGTCTTACTGAGAGACGGGGGAATGAAGGCAGTCTACCTTCCCACAGAGTTAAGTACCCTATTGATGGATCTCCAGAGAAGCCAAGCACTTTTCCCAGGTGAGAAGATGGGACAATCCAATCCAAGGCCCAGGGACTTCACCTGCCCCCAGGTCTTCTGGCGTTTGCTTTTCTACCGGAATAAACACCGCTCCTGATCTTCCCAACTACTTTATAAGTCACGGACGGGAGGGGAGGGGGAGAAGAGGAGGAGCCCCTCCTCCTTTCCAAGGAATTCTCTCATGGCCTTTGTGACTCCTAAGCATTACTGACGGGAACAAGACCTCCAGATCTTCCATCCACACCTTCTCCTCAGCAAGACATTTAAGGCATAGGCGCACCCACTGACAGTTAATATGAACTTGCACTTGGGCAATGCTGCTACCAAGCGTTTATCCTGATCTGCGGAGAAAGTCCTGGGAGGACGAGGAGGACTCTGTCCTAGAAGGGCCATTTTAGAAGGGTGTCTAAAGAGACATGAAATTTGTATCGCTTTGTCTGTCCCCTAAGCATTTATTGCATTTAAATGGATTCCACAGTAATAATGTTTTCTTTTCCTTTGTTGCAAGCCTTCTTGCACCTGCTGTTTTGTAACTGAAAGTGTAAAATAAGCCAAATGTGTAAACTAACGGCTAAAGTAAATAACTGAATGTTTAGTATTCCCAATTTAAATGTGCAGAATAATCTACCCCACTTTTTCACACATTGTACTTTTTGTCCTCTAGGGCTGTGGTTACAATTCCACATCTGCTTACTTGAGATAAAATCCATTTAACTTTAAATGACTTAATGCACACATGTATGTGCACACACATGCACGCACACACACACAAATTAAAAGACTACTAGACATTTATGTGAACCATGAAGCAATTTACAACAGTAATATAAAAACAACGTCTGAAATAAAACTGACCATGAGACCAGGATGGACACAGCATGCCTTTTTTCCTTGAAAAGCATTCAACCAAGCAACATGTGGGCTGGATGACGCTGCCATTAGCGGGTCACAGAGTTGGCTGAACAAATATCGCATCTCAATCATGCCACGTTAAGTTGCCAGATGAGATTCCCCATTTCGGCCTTATGCTGTTCAATGTATTTACAAAAAACTTGATTGAGAATATGAATGTCAAATTGTGGATGGCATATGAATAAGAAAGATAGCAAGCTGCTTAAGGGACAGTATCAAAATTCAGGAGGAATCTGATACAATGGGCAAAAGTCAGCAAAATTGTTAGGGACAAAAACAAAGTTGTGCCTGGTAGGGCCTGGTGGCTCAGCAGACTGATAGCATTGTGATTAACACCAGCTGCCTGCAATTACTGTAAGTTCGAATCTCATCAGGCTCAAGGTTGACTCAGCCTTCCATCCTTTCTAAGGTAGGTAAATTGAAGACCCAGTTTGTGGGGGCAATAAGCTGACTTTGTATAAATATACAAAAGGATGAAGGCTATTGCTTAACGCATTGTAAGCCGCCCTGAGTCTCTGGAGAAGGGCGGCATATAAATCAATTTTTTTTAAAAAAAAGTTCCATTTTTGAGTAAGAAAAATTAAGGACATGAGCTGGGATGATTACACTGGGTAGTAGAACATCAAAATATATATAATTGTCTTGATGGATCACAAGCTGAACATGATCTCAAAGTGGGATTAAGTTGGGAAAAAAAAGGAAATGCAATTATGGTCACCATCTTAATTGTCAAGCTCAAGACAAGCTCTCCTTCCTTTCAATTCTGAACTGGTCCAATCACACGTGAAGGATTGTGCCAGGCCTGCACATCACATTTTAGGGAGCTGGTTGACAACATATGGAGTGCCCAAAAGAGAGCAACCTAGATGATGAAGGAATACTGCAACACTGTTTAAGGAACAGTTGGGGACATAGATATGTTTAGCTTAGAGAAGAGACGAGAGAAACGTTAGGAGTCAAGAGAAGTCAGGACAAGTGATAAGGAAGCAGACTTCAGGTGGACGAAAGGAAAAACCACCTACAGTCGCAGGCGTTCAGTGTCTTGGTGGACTCTTCTTTGCTGGAGGTGTAAGGCTAGATGCCATCTGTCAAGTACTGTATATCTGTCAAAACATACTTGCCTTGGGCAAATCATTCCACAAGACAGGTGCCACCACAGGGAAGAGCTGCTTCAACAGGGTGCCCACTTGCAAGCCACAAGCCTTAGCATGTTCAGACCTGGCTAGAATTAGTGCTAAAAGTGGTAGAATGTCAGATTCGTCTCCTGAGAATTGCACAGCGTAAGTTTCACCTGATGGAAGTAGACCCTTAGTAGATTAGAGCGCAAGCACTTGAGGCATAAAACCAGACCTGGAGCTTGCAAAGCAGCACATTCTCCTTTGGGCAATGAATATTCGAGCAAGGGAAGGAGAGTAGAAAGAACTTGTGGCGAGGGCCAAATGTATTTTATCTCATCCCAATGAGAGTTTTTTCACTTGGGAACCTTGTCTTCACCCAATAATTTTCCCTTAATAAGTGTTCCCTGCTCTCCCTCTTCCCAACAAATGTGTGGGAATATGCCCATGCCAATACCCCATTTCCTTCAGCAACCACCTTCCCCATCTACTTCTGGTCCCAAAACTCTTCATCACAACAATAAAAAAAAGAGCAAGGATTGCGTGCCCCTAATTTCCCAACAGCATCTAGATTCAATTTATTTTGGAAGCATCCTGAAGTTTTCTATTTATTTATTAAATTTATATCCCATCATTCTTCCAGAAGCTCCACACAGTGTATACAGCATTTGTGCTTCCAATTCTCCCAACAACCAACCCCTGGTTTCCAAGTTTCTGAGAAGCTAATCTTTTTCTCATGTGCAATCCACCCGATGCTCACCAACAGACCTCAGCGCCACTTAGCTGCTCATGAAGCCTTTTCAGGCTTCCCAAATTGGAATTCCGTTGCTTGCACATTTAGAACCTATTTGCCTGCCCTACAAACATCTAACAAGTAATGACAACGATGATAACAAAAGAGATATACCAACTAATATCAAACAGAGCAAATTACAAACAGCCCTTTATAATATCTAGTGGTTAGAAAGGCCCAACATGATTCATATTCATTCATGAAAACTATTATAAATGATAAAAGCGGAATTTCAAAATATATTGCTGATAAAAGGGAAAATAAATAAAGACAACAAAAGCATGTCCCTCTTATAAACTAAACAAATCTAATGTTATGCATATAATCATGTAAGAGTATGTAATGTAATATTTAATTAATAATGAGAAAATGCAGGAAATTAAAATCCTAAACATATTGCACAGTTCTCCAAATGGAACTTCATAAATTCCTTGTGAAAATAAAGAGATTTCTTCAGATCTCTGATAGGGAAAGGCATCCTTCCAGTCTTATACTGGTGGAGAGGATCCATATGTTTATCTCATAAAAGAAAACAACAGCAATTGTCTCCCATCAGTTTATTCAAAACAATTTAATCCCTAAAAAAAAAAAGATGCATCCGAAACTGTGTGAGATAATTTCCAAAAACATGGCACATGAGCATATTGTATCATGTTATTGAGCACCACGTTCCAATGAACTGACCTCATCAATTTTATTCCCAAATGACCTACCACGGTCCAATAATATAGAAAATAATAATTTGTCTTGTGTTAAATGTAATTTTTAATCCAAAGAAAAATGATTTGATAATACCAAAATGATCTAGTGACATTCATAGATCAGACACTCCAACCCTTCCTTTCTTTCATGCCTCCCTATACTTTTGAGTATACAACTTACTGGCATTTAACAACAATTTCTAACAGCTATTATAAGATTAATGTGGTCATAGTAGAAGGGATTCTAGAGCAGTCAAGGCTACAGGTTTACATCTGGATGGCAAAAAAGCATTTTAATCATAAATATTGATTTTTCAGGATATCCTATTAAGTGATCTGCAGTATTCGTTCCACCCAGGGTCTTTAACCTGCAAGGAAAGGAATTTCACACTTGGACCCCCAAACCCTCCAGTGCATAAGGGGTACCAATTATACTGATATAAAGATGGAACGGGAATAAAGATGCACAACATCTTTAATTAATCCAAGAAATCCATACACCTTATGGAATTAAATAAACTAAAACATTTAAGCTACCGTCTCTAACTTCCAGAGTTAAAAAAAAAGAGGAATCATTTTCATAACATCTGAATGAACATTTTGGTTTGTTTTGGGAAGACATTATTGATTCCTGGCAGCTGCCTGGACAAGTCTATACAGTTTTCTTGGGGAGATTTTTGGAAGTCCTTTGCCATTGCTTCTTCCCAAGGCTAAGAGAGCACGAGGGACCCAAAGTCTCCCAGCTG